ACCCGTATTATTCAGCACTTCTGCCAACTTCTATTTTTGTTACAAGTGCCGTAAAACTCTTCCACAAACCAAACTCATGGTAAACCTGCCACTGAAGGCCTGTGTGGCATGTCCCTCTGTCTGACACACTCTGTGGCGTGTTATCTGCAGGAGCACGTGTGTTTTGTGATGGAGTACGCGTGTGGCGGGGATCTCATGATGCACATCCACAGCGACGTCTTCTCAGAGCCTCGCACCGTCTTCTACGCTGGCTGTGTCGTGTTGGGGCTACAGTACTTACATCAGAACAAGATTGTCTACAGGTGTGTGTGTGTGTGTGTACAGGTATGTGTGTGTGTACAGGTGTGTGTGTGTGTGTGTGTGTCGTGTTGGGCCTACAGTACTTGCATCAGAACAAGATTGTGTACATGTGTGTGTGTATATGTGTGTGTGTGTGTGTATGTGTGTATGTGTGTGTGTGTGTGGTGTTGGGCCTACAGTACTTTCATCAGAACAAGATTGTGTACAGGTGAACCCTCTGATGTGGTTTGCTCCTTCTTTCCTCTCAAACATCTATTGTTCTTATCTCTCCTCCTTCTTTTCGTTGTTTGTTCCTCTCTTGTAACACCTCGTTGTGTGTTCCTCTCTTGTAACACCTCCAATCTTCCTCACTAGCGTGACCTATCTGTGTTGCGAGTGCCGTAAAACTGACTAGAACACTGTCAGGTTATTCTGGGGCTTACATGATTGGATCGGATCATTTCCCCAAGATAGCATTACGTTCTTCAATCAATCCATAAATGAGTGCACCAAACGACATTACGTTCTTCAATCAATCCATAAATGAGTGCACCAAATGACATTATGTTCTTCAATCAATCCATAAATGAGTGCACCAAATGACATGTTCTTCAATCAATCCATAAATGAGTGCACCAAATGACATGTTCTTCAATCAATCCATAAATGAGTGCACCAAATGACATTACGTTCTTCAATCAATCCATAAATGAGTGCACCAAATGACCCTTGAACGGTCTTGCTGTGGCAGGGATCTGAAGCTAGACAACCTACTCCTGGACTCGGAGGGCTACCTCAAGATGGCGGACTTTGGGCTGTGCAAGGAGGGGATGGGCTACCAGGACCGAACCAGCACCTTCTGTGGCACGCCAGAGTTCCTGGCACCAGAGGTGTTGACCGAGACCTCTTACTCCCGCGCTGTGGACTGGTGGGGGCTGGGTGTGCTCATCTACGAGATGTTGGTGGGGGAGGTGAGTCTGTCTGTCTCTATGAGGTGTTGGTGGGGGAGGTGAGTCTGTCTGTCTGTCTGTCTCTATGAGATGTTGGTGGGGGAGGTGAGTCTGTCTGTCTGTCTGTCTCTATGAGATGTTGGTGGGGGAGGTGAGTCTGTCTGTCTGTCTGTCTCTATGAGAT